GGTACTGGCCATTGTTTGTTCTAGCCTCGTCTCCAAAGACTTGCCGTTTACAATCGAAGCCCAACGCCTCGACCCCCGGCGGTGCCTTCAAAGCCTGACACGGGCTGAACTCCAGACTAATAGATCTGATCTCTAGAATGTCGTAGATAGACAACAGGCCGGTCTTGCTGGAATCTCACCACAGGCCCGAGACTACATCGATCCGCGGCTTTTTTGGGACAAACCTGTTTTCTGAAGACTGTTGTGTGAGCGAACGACCACTCGATGCGGACAAAATAACACATAGGTCTACATTATTACATTATAGATTCTAGATATACATTTGTTTTCGTTTCAAAGTGTGGTTGGTTTGCTGTGTGTAGCAGAGGCATTCGTTATTCATACAGAATTCTTTTTAAGCGATTTAAGTAGAAACCGGTATTAAAAGTGTTTTCGTTTCAAAGTGTGGTTGGTTTGCAGTGTGTAGAAGTGGCTTTCGTTCTTGATACAGAATTCTTTTAAAAGATTTAAGCAGAAACCGGTATTTAAAAAAATGATATAGCACCTTTTTCTTTCCTTTACGCGTCTTTTAAATACATGTAATGAGGATGGTATAAAAACAGTTACACATATATCTTCCGAAACATTTCGATTGTGAAACTTTTGAGATCTGCTACTATACCAGCAGTTCATTTTTCTTGACATTCATATATTCATAAGAAGAGTCCAGGAAGTTTACAGGTCAGCAGTTCCTTGGATTCAATGTAAACACCGCTGACGTCGCAGCGCGCTGAATAAGTGCCGTTTTATATTCGCGGAGTAACACACCAGCTGTCATTGAAAACATTCACCACTGACCATTCTAAACTGGACTATTTGGACCCATAGAATCGTCATTCTCTCTTCTCCTCCTTTTTTTTGTGCTTTTTACTCTCTCGTAACACCACTAATTCTAACCTTCGGCACTTATATGACCTTATTGCGTTGCAAGTGCCGTAAAACTCTTACTAAAACTAAAGCTAAGGACTCCTAGATCTACGCCAGGGTACGTCCTTGAGAGAAGTTTACTGTTCACTACACATGTTCCGATTGTCAAAGACTTTGTAACGTGCAGCTCCTCTGTAGCCTTAACTAAAGTTCCACGTCACTGGACTGCAAAGTAGTAGTAGTAGTAGTAGTAGTAGTAGTAGTAGTAGTAGTAGTAGTAGTAGTAGTAGTAGTAGTAGTAGTAGTAGTAGTAGTAGTAGTAGTAGTA